TTTGGCAGTTGTTACTGAATTCTGAGGACACATTTGCAGTCACACTCTTGAACAAAGGGGCTTCTGTTCTTCTCAGATCTGAGCATGCATTGATGACACATTGGGTGTCTCCAGTCCTGCTTCGGATCAGATCGCTCAGGAAGCTGGTTCAAATCATCCTGACGCTTTACCCACTGTATTTAATGCAATCTTTATCTTTAGTGAAGATCTTAGTTGTTAAATAAGTATATGTTGGAAAGATTTTTTTTTAATGATACAAAGTAATGCATAAATACAGGTCTGTGTGTTCTCATTGTTCTTTAATGATGGCTCTGCATCATTAAAGATGGCTCTGCAGCAGTATGTCTGACTGTGCATGCGGTCCTCATCAGCCATTTGTTCTTTTTCCCACGCTGCTGAATGCCAACATGGCCACAGACACACACACGCAGGGCTTATCTGAACAATGCTTCAAATAGCTGCGGAGTCTCATCACAAGGGCATGTCACCAAAGAGCACAAGGAGCCAGAGAGGAGGACTCTGTGTGTGTGTGTGTGTGTGTGTGTGTGTGTGTGTGTGTGTGTGTGTGTTAGGGAGTGAGTGAGAGAGAGACAGGCCAAAGTCATAAACGCATCACAGTGTGCAGCTGTTACCTGCAGGCTCTGCTGTACTTGTCAGCGGCACATCACAACCAGCTCATCCATACTGCTGCCCATTGTTAGGCTGCCTATGTATAGCTCACTGCAGGAGGGAGGCTTTCACCAATGAACAGGACCCACATGAACACACCACGCTTCACGCAGCATTGTTTTCTTTTCACTGGCATTAACAGTCACACAGGTGTAAAAGCCAGATTAACAAAGTGCATTATCATCCTGTATACAAGTACTAACAGTCTGGTGGGAAACATAAGGGGCCAGGAAAGGGCACAAGGGTCGAACTGGAATGGTCCTGGGGTCTATAGTTTTGTCCAAGATTAGTCTCAGCAGCTCCAGCTGGGTCTTACCTTCATTAGGTATTTTGGATCTAGTCATTTAGACTTTCATCAGTCCATTGATCCATTTGTTTTTATTAAAGAGTCACTGTCAATGCAGCTGATACCGGAAAGATGTACAGCAGGGGTGTCAAACTCATGTCCACCAGGGGGTGAAAGCCCTTGAAGGGCCGGTTCTAAATGGAAGACTGTATAGATCATGGGTCCCCAGCCCCTGGTTCGCGAACCAGTACCAATCCATAGGTCATTTGGTACCTGGCCACAGTAGGACAAAAACTTAATTTTTACTGACTGACTAGGCCTTGGAACAAAAAGGGTTGGCGACCACTGGTATAAATGTAACTACTCCTACTCCTAACAGAAATAATACATGTTTCTGCAATTGATTGTTATTTATTCAAGCTACAAATATTGTCCATTGCTGTGAAATACAAGAAAACTTTTAATTTCTCAGGTTAAGAAACTGCATGTACTTTACTAAATGCTTTTTAAGCTCTCACGGGCCGCACAAAACGGCTTGGCGGGCCGCATTTGGCCCTTGGGCCTTGAGTTTGACCCATGTGATATGTACAGGATAAGACCTGCAGCCTGGACATGTCTTCTCCCAAGGTTACCATCACAGTGGACTGTACATTTGTACTACTGTAGATTGTGGTGACAGCTGCCACTGTCTCCCTCAGATTATAATTGTATTTTATCAGGGATTAAAATATAAGTCCCCCATGAAGACCATACCTTTAGCATTACTGTAAATAAAATGTAAATCTCTTGTCAAATGTAACTTATTTTCAATGTCAACGTCTTCACTGAGGTTCTGTTTGTCAGCTGCTGGGACTCTCAGTAAACACTCAGCAACATCATGTCTCAACATGTCTGCTAAAATCTGGGTCTTTCTGGTCCTTCCACTTGCTGTGTGTTTGACACACACACACAGAGTGTGCCTGTGGCTGCAAGGTGTCGCCTGAAATAAACAAAGATAAACTGAGAAAGTTTTCACAAGGCCATTGTATTGTCACAGATTGTTCAGTTTTGTAATTGAAACACTGACCGGTTGAGACAGCTGAGGTGTTATCTCACTTCCTCTCTGATAGTTTTGTCTTGTCTGGATGTGGGACATTGAGAAACCGGATGGTTCTGATGCTACACACGTCTGCAGATCCAGCGTTTTATCTCATTCCCTCTGGAAACACATGTACTTTCCCACGAGCTGGAGAAACAAGAACAACAGTGGTGCGTCAGATCTCACGCTTTGTGGTGTGCAGTGTTTTGGGAGGTTCACCTCTGCTACCATAGTTACTTTATACAGCATGTAACATAAAGAGTCAAGCTGTACACACAGGGACATGGCATCCCTACTTTGGGCCCCATATTAGAAGTATCTAAAGGTGATCCTGACAATGAACTAAAATGATCCACTGACTATTGTAGCACTGCTTCAAACAAAGTATTGTCTTTACTAATGTGTGATGTACAAACCTGTCTGGACGTATCCTTCCTTTGACCAGTGTTAGAATAAAGAAAATATATAGATTTGTAAACATGATGAGCCAGTGCTAATTGCTCATACATTAACATGTTAATATTTCATGAATACTTTGGCCAATAGAACCTAGTAAAGGTACAACTAACATTTGTGGTACATAAGTTTACACCCATGTCCCACGAAATCATCAAATACAAGGCCTGCCGTGCGGCACCGTCAGTGACATTACAGCAGTGTTTCTCAAACTTTTTTTCTGGGGACCCATATTTTAAAAGTCACAAACCTTCACAACCCAGGTCAATAGACATTCTTCGTAAACTCCTGGGAAACATGATGAGACGACCCCCCCCCCCCCAAAAAAAATCTTGCAACCCACCTAAGGGTCGTGACCCAGTCTTTGGGAAACAACGCATTACAGTGACAGCGGTGTTGGTTGACAGTTAGACGTCAGTTAGGGTCAATCTGTGAAGTCTCTTTCAAAGTAAAACCCACACACAGTGTGTGCACATGAACACACCAGGCACACATGCGCCGTGCAACAAAAGGTAAAGCCCCTCATTTAAAGTAAGAGGTTAACCTAAGCTGGTGTGTGGTTTCATGTGTTTCAGAGCCAAGAAACAAACATTGTGCTACTTAACACTCCAGTATCAGTACTGATTCCAGGGGTGGGGAGCAGACTGGAACTGATTCACTGTGACCTTTCATGTGGTCTGTTTGGAAAAAACCCAGAGGTGATGAGGTGTGAGGTGGTCTTCTGACCCTCATGTTGTACATGTTAAAACTATCCTCTTAAGGTTACCATGTAATCAGTGGGTATGAAACTAAATGTCCACACTGACAGCATCACTCCTTAGGCAAACTGAAAGGTACAGAGGCAGACAGGAGATCGTAAGCAGGTGCTTCGCACATGTTTGCCACTGTGAACACAGAGTGATGCATGATGTGTGTATCTCGACCGGATACTGAGGTCAGCGCGGTGTCTGCTCGGCTGCCAGGGGCACAGAAAAGGCACCAGAAGAGCTGATGACATCTGCCGTCTTACAACCATCTCCTGCTGATTCACAGGCTCCAGCAGCTCATTAATAACACCTCCAATAGTCTGCCTCTGTTCACGTGGGGGCAGTTAGCCAGGGCTGTGTCAGTCAGGTGACTGATAGGGAGAGAGGTCGGTCCCACTAGGAGTGGCTGATGTGATGACGTTTTGAAGCCAAAGGTTGTTTTTTTTTTTAATACAGTATAGCATTGGTTTTTGGTACGTTCCTGAGCTGTGACAAATACGGTGTGATTACTAGATCTTTCTTGTTTTTGTCATTTGTATTGGTGTTGTAATTTCTGTGGATATTGATGTATTAATACTTGGGTCAAGTATTTAAAAATAGTTTTACATTTTTCAACTGAATATTGGTAAAAATAAGAATTTAGTCTACTAGTTTTCTTGATGAAATATTCCTATATATAGAATACAGATTCCTAAGCACTTTGCTTCAACACTGTAACATTATTTTCAGCTAAAAAAAACCCTAGATTGCCCTGCAACCATTCACACTCATTATTTCAACAATAACAAGCTTCACCATACAGTATAATGTCCTAAGCTACTGACTATAGTTTTCTGTTGGTGGTTTTTCAGTCTCAGTCTTATTCTAGTGAAAATGTAAGTTCTCAAGTATAACTTTTGGTAACATTCCCTTAAAGATTTATTGTCTCAATTCCTAAACAGTTTGCTAATTATTTTTTTTATCAGTAGGATAAAATGTATTCAGTAGATTTTCTTTCTATTTAAAAAAAACTAAATTCAATTTTTTTCTGATCTCAACCAGGAGCACAGCACAGATGTGCTTTACTCATACTGTCAATTTAAACATACCATAGTATTATGTATGCTAAATATATACCTAACATAATAATGATTGTACATATTCATTTAATATTTAAAATATATTAACCCGTGTCTACTAGTAAATAATAATAATATAATAGATTTGATGTTACCCAGTAATGTAAAGTACATACAATAGTTTCTTTATTTTATACTTTTATTTTAAGCAGGAAACATAAGTGACTATGTGTGTGTCTGAGGACATTTTTACTTTCAGTTTAATCTGAATATAAAGGTTCAATTGTGACTCACTAAGCGATAAAGTGTATTCATGTTGAGCGGGGAAATACCGACACTCCTTGGTAATGACCAAGGGATTTACATACATTTCAAATTTGAAATAAATAAACAAATCCATAAATAAATCTATAGGACTCTAACTGCGCTCGTCTGGTAATTAGACACTTTACCCTGAACCACTCACTGTGGAGTGGGCAAATATTGACACTAATGGTCTCAGTAGGATGTGGGTTAGTGATTAACATGTAGACGGTGTAATTAGGTCCACGTTAGGACTTCCTCTGCTCTGCCCCCTCCTGCGCCGCAGCTTCCGCCCACACTCAGCTCTCAATGGCTCCACTGGCAACTGTTGATGAATTCCAAAAGCATCTGACGTAAAGTGGGAAGGGCCGGAGCTCGAGTCGACTATAAATACACTCTACCTCCTTCAGTCACATCGACACTCTGGATTATTCGAGACTCGTCACAGAGGCTCCTTCCTCGGGCGACACAGCGGGGGTTATCTGCCCGTATAAACAATGAAAATGTCAGCGGAGGAGATTTGCCAGGTTCTCAAAGAGGGAGAGCTGGAGAAGAGGAGCGACAACCTGCTCCAGTTTTGGAAGAGGAAGACGTGCGTCCTGACCACGGACAGCCTCAACATTTACGCGGACACGCAGAAGCGCTCCAAGGGCAAAGAGCTGAAGCTGCAGTCCATCAAGAAGGTGGACTGCGTGGAGCGCACCGGCAAGTTCGTCTACTTCACCATCGTCACCACAGACAATAAGGAAATCGACTTCCGGTGCACCGGAGAGGAGAACTGCTGGAACGCGGTGATCACGATGGCTCTGATTGATTACCAGAACAGAAAGGCCATCCAGGACTTTAAAACGCGGCAGGACAACGAGAGCGCGTCGCCCGGTCAGCAGGAGAGACGCATGGCGAGAGCGCCCTGAGCCGCTGCTGGACTCGGTCACATGCCAACTCCTAATATGGTGAGAGGGCCACCGTGACTTCGAGCTGACATTACATATATGTATATATATATATATGTGTGTGTAATATTGAACACTGACTGAACAAGAACAGCGTGGGACAATCCAAGGTTAATCACTGTCTCTGCCAGTGTCAACGAGGACCAGAAAGAAAGTAATACACGGACCGTGGACGTGGAATCACGGTTCAGAGATGAAGGACTGTCCCGAACTGAGCTCTCACAGAGAGGACGAATGGACAGGCAGATGGACGGAGAGTTTTCACACACAGGACTGAAGCCTAAAACTATTTCAAGTTTTACTCTCTTTGTGGGAGAAGTGACTCCTTAAAATACTACGGTGGTAATTTATTTGTTTCCAGGATATTGTGTTACTGTTACTGGCAAACAGCATGTGTTGTTTAAATTATTTTCATGTTCAATGTGATAATGTGTGTCCTTGTATTTATATAATAAATATTCATACCTTTTTGAAATAACTCCCATGCAGTCTATTTTGGATTTTTGATCCACGGCCATGTAAGGTTTGGGCATGTGTCGATACAAGTCTCTGCTTCAGTAACAGTATATTTCACAGTTGTGGACACATTTCAGCAGAGATTTCTTCTAGTAAATGCCAGCAGTGTGAGTCGAAGGGGGCGGAGAGCAGGAAAGTCCCTTTCCTTTCTGCTGTCAGGAGGAATGTGACTCTTTGTGGCTGCAGTGTTTCAGCCTTAAGTCATAAACTGATAAGGGAGACAATTTAGTTGGCAGCACAGGGCACTTAAAAGAACCCGTGGTTTCTTTGAACACACCCTAACTGCTGCTCAGGTGTGGTAGCTTTGTATTTAAAAAGACATGAAGGCAGCACGTTGATTCAAATCAGCTCTGAGCAGGTGTTCAGGAGACACAGCTATTCCTTATCAGACGCCTGCTCTGTACGAGGCTACAACGAGACAACACACAGGAAGTCTGCTTTACTGCTCACGTTATCACAGAGTAAGGGATGTGTCACCAGATAGGTGATACCACAGACACACACACACACACACACACACACACCCATTTAACTGCTGTTATAAACCCAGTGATTAAAGCTTGAGTCAGAGTCAACAAAACCCTGTGAGGTCTTCAAAACAGTGGCAAGTAAAAAATAAAAATGTTTTTGGGGGGGTTTCTGGCAGAATTTATCAAATAGTTTGCCTAAAATTAAACTTCTTCAAGAAGGTGGTGATGGTGATAATCATTATAATACATGTCAATAAAATAGTCTGAAAAGAGAGAACCAAAAAGATAATTCTTAATTTTTCACATATACTGTCTAGAACATCAATGGTTCTGTTTTTCAAACAGTTCTGTTTTTATTCTATAAAATCAGTTTTCTCTTCTTCATTCACAAGCTTCAAAATAAAAATATGTGAAGGTTTTTTTCTTATCTCTTATATATATATATATATATATATATAAATTTTACCCTTGATTTATCATGAATCAAAATAACTTTGTTCAGGAAAATCATCAATTTATGATGCAAAAAACAAATTCTCTCATTGTGTAAAAACAAATATTTTGCCAACATTTTCAAAAATAATGACGTGGAAAGATTTTAGACACAATTATAAAAAACAAGCAACAAACAACCAAACAAAACTGCCCACATTTATGTGAAATTTACCTCACAAAAATACCTCTAGCTGTGGTTCAAGTGCAGTGGAAGTGTGTTGTGAGCACAACGCCCCCTCCCAGTCTCACTCCCAGAGGCCAGAGGTGACAGAATGCCGATTCACTGGCCATCTCTGTGTGTAGCTTTGAAGTGGGATCACACTACAATGAGCGCATCAAAGGGGATCGACTGATCTGAAGAGTATTACCGGAGCGGATGGGCGACCTTTCTATAAATACTGCTGTGCAAATTGTGTTTGTGTGCGATCACGCATACACACATGGACATAGTGCATGCACTGAAATACTGTACACATATACACACACAACTACTGCAGCCATTCAAGCTTTTGAAGTGACATTGCGTTGTTTGTAGAAGCGATCCAATCAAATCTACATATGCATTTCCCTGTTGCTGCAGCAGAGCCTTTATGCTATATATGTAATGTCAGTCATATACCTATACTGTAAAATATCTTTCATTATCTCTGCTAACAAAAGATCGAGCTGCAGCATCAAAAGATTCTACCATTATCTGGATAGCACGTCTTGTGAATTAAAAAAAAAAAGCTTTTATATAGCAATACCCAGTATGGAAGCATTTAGTTTTATATTTTTTTTTTTTAGAAAAAATGCATATGATATAGTTTTTTAACAGTAGCAGCTTAATAAATGTTTTGGAATTAACTTTCCACTACACTGTTGTTGCCACTCAGAAATGCACGGATTTAATGGCTAGCGTAAAAAGTACTAAAATGTTGTATTGTGTGTGTGTGTGTATGTGTGTGTGTGTGCCTTATTGCAGTTGCTGCGTCTTCCTGCATAAACATCCTGACACACAGCACTCGTACACACTCAGGCCATGCTTGTAGCTCCGCGTCATGACTGTGTATAAGCCATCATTATGTGGACAACAGCCACAGCATTGTTAGCCATCAAATTAAATAAACCAAAGAGCAAAGAGGATGTTAGAGCAGTGTGTTTGTGCCATGTGTGTGTGTGTGTCAATATACAACGTACTGGCAGTTTAACTTTGTGTCTTATTTTTTAAACTGTGCTGAAAAAGATGAAGGGTTCTTCGGGTAAACTTGAGGCTTTGTGCTGACATGATAAGTGTATGGAGGAACATTTGAGGAGGGTGTTGTGAGGTGAAGTTTTCTGGCCAGAAGAAACACGTCTGACTTCAATTCATCATAACAACACTCCCCCCCACACACACACTTGAATTCTAAATGGCTCGACTGCATGTAGCAACAACATTCAGTCAGTTAAGATTTGAAGTCTGTGATGTGTATCATCTGCAAAAAAAAAGGATGGTGAAAAAGACGATTTTTTAAAAGGTTCCCAAACATAAAATACGGTATGTTATGTTTATTTGTTAAATATTTTTTGTTATGGTTTTATATTTGTGGCACTTTGGCCCAGAGGCAATGTCTCTATCGTTGGTGTGGAACCCCAGGGTTCACCTCCTGGGCAAGATCGAATCCCTGTTAGGGCGGTTGGTACCTTCCAGTAGACTCACCACCCGCAGGAAGGTTCAGGGGGGTTGGTATGGTGCAATGTGATTTGGGTGGCAGTCATAGAGACTGCTGCCCCCACGACCTGGTAATGGATAAGAGGATGAAGATGGATGGATGGATGGATGGATGGGTTTTATATTTAACTTTCAGCTATTTGTCATTATCTGTTCTGTTATTATTATTAATATCATTATTATTATAGCTTAAATATTATTATTATTATTATTAATATTTACAAACAAAAGGTAAGAAAATTAGACTGTTAAGCAGCTAAGCAGCTTTTTGATTATTTGCATTAATACACGAAAAATAAAACATTTTTTATTTAGTATCAACTCATTCTAGTTCAGCATTCTTTAACTATTGGTTAACTAATCCCAGCTTGCTTACTGAAAATGAAAGGCTCTCCATTGAATAGATAATGACACAGGGATTAAAATACACGCAACTAATGCTGTAAAATCATGATCTCTATTTCTTTTAAATCCCTCCTTCCTCTACATCATCAAGAGCCTGTCTGGGAAATGAAAGTTTGCTACCATCATATATGACATGCCACACCATATATGACGCACCCCTTTTGTTAACAGTACAATATTGTCAGCTGCTCAGGTATGTGGAGTGACTCAGTACAGCTCTCCCTTGTTTCCTGTTAATGGGCTTTTCTATTATTTATTTGACTTTAAATATACTGTGTCATTTCCTTTCGGGGCTCTTCCCGTCAGAGGTCAAACTGACGCCAGTAAAACACGACAACAGCCCCACATGTAAATAAAACGGCCTCCAAAACCCAAACAACACAGACCGCCAGGGAATTAGGCAACAGGCCTTACAAGACAATTTCATTACTTGAAAAAATACTTTAACATACTTGTGAAATTTGGACTTCACCTCACAATGACTTACTTTTACCACCTAGCAATGGTGACTATAGTTTCTTGACACCACAGGAATGAGATTACCTCAGTGAGGTGCTATTTATGGACTTGTTTGATAAGAATGAACCTTTGTCGGTATTTCACTTTATGACGCAGGGCTCAGGTAAGAGCATATCATACCTGAGGAATGGGCCCACACCCTCAGTCATGGTCACATGAAGTCAGTGGCTCTCTTTGACAAAATGACCATTTGTGGGAATTAAAAGTGCACTAAAAGTCAGAGTGCTTGACTTGAGTCCAGCTCTCCATGGTCCGACCCTCATTCATTTTCCCCCTCATTCCAAATAAAGGTCAGCTAATTCTCAGTCTGGTTAAACTGGAGGAACTCCCCACCTTACCTCATCCACAAAGGCGTCATTCTCCTAATCGTCTGCAGCCATGACAACATTTTTTGTTTTTAATTGAACATCCATTTCTGAGCGCTGAGTCACAGGGGAATAACGTCCCAGATCTGCAAATTCAGCTTGATCTACTCCAGCCCTGGCTCAGACTGAGCCTGTTGCAAACATGAAACGTGTATATGAAAAGTATCTAATTAATCACACTGCTTGTTATATTTTGACTTTATATTCTTGATAGGAGCCTAGTCAAACGACCTTATGACAATTTATTTATTGCTCTAAAACTGAGTTCAGTGCTGATTTATTGTCTGTTTGTCAGTCTTTTCCTTCTGGCAATCTGATAGTCTAGTGAGTCCAGGCCACATCCGCTGAACAGTAAATATAGACGAGTGTTCACAAGCAGACTACTCACTGAAAATGCCAAGGCAAGTTGATATTTTCCCAGAGAAGGCAGAACAACTCCCCGAGTCTCTCTGTTTTTTCCACAGAATCTTACTCATGTGCCACCTTTCATGTCTAAGACAGGCGTGTGTATTAGGTGTACCAAAACCACACACACACTTGCAGTATATATACACAGAAGTGTCGTCAGGGGCCATGGACTTGAGCTGGGATCATGTTGCCTAAGACCCAGCTGTCCAGAGAGGAGCTCCAGACAGAGAGAGGAGACGCTGTCAGGAATGTCTACAAGGCAGCGAGGGGGCGGAAGGGCTGAGATCTCCACGTACGATCCGTGGAAACAAAAAAGATTAGGTTTTGGGAAGAGGTTTCTGTCTTCACACCCAGCTCTTTTAGGCTTTTCCACAGTCAAAGTTTGTATTTGCGGCGTGTGAAAAGGTTTTTTCTTAAGTAATAACAACTGGGAACTTTCATTGTTCACACACTTCAACATAAAGTACTACTACTACTACGTACACATTTTTAACGTTACCCATTTAGCTTTATTTTTATTTTCACAGACATTAATAACTGTCATATGTGATGCTACAGTCAAGGCTAATGTTTGTTTAAATGTCTTCCCTAAGGACACAATGAAAACCTGA